CTGTTTTTTTCCCCCGTGTGGTTCCTTCCCAAGGTGGAGATGAGGTGTTTAACTCTGAGGTATATGCTCAGCATTTGTATCACAGAGCCATACAGCATGGAAACAGACCCTTCAGTCCAACCTGTCTGTGTCGGCCATAATCCCAAACTAAACTAGTCCCACCTGCCTGTGCTTGACCCCTATTCCTCCAAACATTTCTTATTCATCTACTTATCCAAATGTCTTTTAAATGTTGTAACTGTGCCTGCATCCACCACTTCCTCTGGAAGTTCATCCCACATACAAACCACTCTCTGTGTAAAATGATTGGCCCTCACGTCTTTTTTAAATCTTTCTCCTCTCACCTTAAAAACTGGCCCTTACTCTGGAAATCCTTACCTATCAGAAACCCATGACACACTGTTAAACGTGAGGTATTTTCCAATCTCCAGGATATGAGGTCAAAAACTTGAGAACAGCCGGAGTTGGCTTTTAGTCTTGGCTTGCAGGAAAGGTACATTCTGTCGTCTGGCTCCAATCCCAATTCCATTCAATTGCAGATGATTTAGCAAGCTCAACAGAATTCATTGCTGTGCTCAGTAAATAGTAGAACAGACTATTAGCTAATGTACCAAATTATCACATTTAAGGGGTCGATCCAAATTTGTCATTTATTGACAGCATTATTAAAAACCTACACTTCATGGATTCTCAGCCTGCAACTGTTGGATTGCTTTGACATTTGATTGTATGTCACAGGGAGGGCTCTTTCTCTCTGATCCTCTCCGCTGCAAGCTGGAAAGGTGTGTCAGTTGGTGGGCAGGCCGCTATGTAAAGGACACAGATTTAAGGTAACAGAGTATGTGTTCCTAAAGCTGAAGATGGCCACTGTAGCTGGTACATGTACAAATGGCCCTTAGGACATCAGTCGGCTGCAACAGGACCTCTATTGCTAGTATGTTTTGACATTGGTATGCACAGATAGGTTAGCTCTGTGGGAGATGTGCTTTAGTGTGTAACTATTCCAAATAGCCACACAGGTTCTGCGCTCTATAAATCTAAGTCTTAGCTGAAACTTCAGTTGAGTTCTACAGTGCTACAAAAACCCTGTGCCCCTGTACTTTTGGCCTTTTGTGCGTTTCTAACCCTCTTCGGCTTCACATTTGGTGACTTTGCCTTAACCATAACTTCAAGTTGTTGCTGTGGAATGTTTCCCACGACTATGAAGAGACATAGACTAGATTCAGATGAGGTACTCCTTCCTGTTTGAGAAACAGTTCCTGAAAGCTGTGATAAATTCTTCTTTATATAAGCATTCTCAGTACTGGAAGTCAGCAATTTTGTGAGAACGGAAAGATTATAATATTCAGGGGTACAAATAGCCCCAGAGTTGCAAGGGACACTCAGGACAGTTCAGGGGTCATAGAATTCCTACAGTGCAGAGAGGCCATTCAGCCCATCACTGAATATGAGTTCCAGGCTCACAGATAGTTGAAGAAAGAGACAGAGACAGGGGCAGACTCCACAGTCAGAGTGCTGAATTTTAACCGTCCTGCATGGGATGAGCCTTCAAATTGTACTATGATCCCAGACCAGACTGCCAACTTTATGTTACACTCCTAGACATCATCACAGAATTATGTTATGATCCACTTGGAGATATGATCCACTCTTTCGCTGTTACACTGGCACCATCCCTCATCTCTTCCTCCACTACATTGATGACTGTGTCGGTGCTGCCTCGTGCTCTCATTAGGAGCATGAACAGTTCTTCAGCTTTACGAATACCTTTCATCCCAAGCTCAAATTCACCTGGGCCATCTCTGACACCTCCCACATTCCCCCCTCTCCGTGTCCGTCTCTGGGAATCGTCTCAGCACCTACATCTATTTCAAGCCCACCGACTCCCACAGCTACCTAGACTACACCTCCTCTCACCCATCCTCCTGCAAGAATGCGATCCCATACTCCCAATTCCTCTGCCTCTGCCATATCTGTTCCCAAGATGGAGCGTTCCACTCCCGGACATCGCAGCTGTCCTCCTATTTCAAGGACCACAACGTCCCGCCTGTATTGATCCAAAATGCCCTCAACTGCATCTCTTGTATTCTGCCCTGAAACCCCCCTCGACCTAATAAAAATAAAGACAGAGCACCCCTGGTCTTCACATACCACCCCACTAACCTTCGCATCCTGAGCATCATTCTCCGCCACTTCTGCCACCTACAATCTGACCCCATAACCAAAGATATATTTCCCTCCCCACTCCTATCTGCCTTTTGTAGGGACCGCTCTCTCCATAACTCTCTCGTCTGCTCCCCACTAGCCCACCACCCCCAGTACCTTTCCCTGCAACTGCAGGAAGTGCTACACATCCCCCACACCTCCCCGCTCACCTCCATCCAAGACCTAAGACAAACTTTCCATATCCGACAGGGGTTCTCTAGTACATCCTCCAACCTGGTCTATTGTATCCGTTGCTCCCAATGTGGCTTACTCTACATCGGTGAGACCAAGCGCAGACTCAGGGACCAATTCGTGGAGCATCTGCACTCTGTACGCTATCATCAACAACACCTTCCGGTTGCTAACCATTATAATTCCCCCTCCCACTCAATTAATGAAATGTCCATCCTGGGCCTCCTCCAGTATCACAATGACACCACCTGCAAACTGGAGGAGCAACCCCTCACATTCTGCCTTGGGAGCCTACAGCCCAATGGCCTACACATAAAATTCACCACTTTTAAAATCTCCCTACCCCCGGCCTCATCCTATGTCCAATCCTCCCTCTCATCCCCGCCTCCTTGACCTGACATAACCTGTCCGTCTTCTCTCCCACCTATCTGTCCCTCCCACCTCACTGACCAATCCCCACCACACCCTACCTGCACTTACCTATCACCATCCCTCCTACCATCCCCAGCCCCACCCCTCTTCTCTCTATTTATTTCCAGCTCCCTTCCCCCTCCCCAGTCCTGTTGAAGGGTGTAAACCCGAAATTTCCTGTTCCTCTGATGCTGCCTGGCCTGCCATGTTCCTCCAGCTCTGCACTGTATTGACTATGTAATGATCCAGTTAGGGACTAGTAACCTTTTACATTTTAAAGCAGACTAAAGATACCATCCAGGGGATCTACTGAGATGGTAAAGTTACAAGATTCCACGATTGTGAACAAATAAAAGACATTACATACAGCATTAGAACTATCACACAATCTATGTAGGAGTTATTGCTAATACAAAACTAACAGATAAATATGCCTAATATACTGTGATCAAAGACTCTGCAAAACAAAAATTAAGTATCAAATATGATCAGGACAGATATTGGCTTTTTCAGTGACTCCCCAACACCCCCAAAACACAAAGACGTTAATGACAAAGTGGGTCAGTAAATTTCAGTAAACTTCATAATGTGTTATAACTCTTCACTTTTGCCAATCCAACCTTCAAACTTTCACTCAAGAGCTGTTCCATACTGGACTTCCTCAATAATTGGTCCTGTTGCTTACCCTCCTGTGCTGGGTACATGCTGCCCTTGGTTCTGGGACCAAACTTATTCACTGGAACATCTCCAGCGTGTAGTTACTTACTCCTGAGGCCGTTCTAATGGCATGGAGCCATCCAACTGCTCTTGCCCCCTCCCTCCAGGACAGATAGAAATCAGCACCCCAACCATGGAGTCTACCCAATCTCTGTCTCTTTCTCCAACTATCTGTGAGCCCAGAATCTCTTTAGTTTCCTCTGATTTGTCATCCCATCACAAGCTGCAATTGAATGCAAGTCCCCATTTCCACCAACTATCCCATGTCATGCAACCAAGCAGCGACTGGAGGCAGGGACTGGAAGCAGCATTATAATTGTTACATAGCTATCTTAAACTACAACATTGACCTGGGGGGAAGGCAGTGACCATAGATGAAGTGAGAGAAGGTAGCCTGCCAACTAGTGGACATGACCTCTGCTGAATTTGTGAAGTGTGATCACAAATTTAAAGGAAAGGCAGGTCTCTAATTGGAAGCGAGCTAATCAGCAACCTCAGTGAGCTATCACAATACCTTTGCACTTTGCAGGTAGCATAGAGTGAAGTGAGCAATTCTAATAGTCACTATCATTAGAATGATGATTTTATCATCTGTCAACAATCAATGCTCTCTCAGTGCCAGGGCTAAACTCCCAGGCTGATTAGCACACTTGAGGCATAAGCAAATATTATTAAGTCGTACTCATTTATCTAGAATTCAGAAGTATCCAAACTCCTTGCCTTTGTGGCTACTTAGGCTCTCTTCCGCATACCTCCACATTGAGTGCGGGTAACATTTTAATGTTCTTGGGGACTTTGAACCTTGAAAGCTACAGGTACCAATTGCTTCAAGGTTCCTGAAATAGGAGTTTCCCTCAATAAAAGCCACAACATACTTTAGAATTGTCTTGCAGTCTCCAGGAATTAAGGATTAATCTCCAAAGCCCCAAGGCGAGCGACTCAGGAGAAATATCACCATGAAAAAAAAAATACATTGCAACTATTTTCTTTGAGCACTTTCATTTTGGGAAAATTGGCTATTTGACTGAATGAGGAACAAATGTCTGTTCAATTTTACCCTTGCCGTGGAAGGGGGCTGGTTTTCAGAATTTGTTTTAAATCAAGCTGTTCAGACAGGTTATGACACAGCCCTGGAGCAGGTGGGACTTGAACCCAAGCCTCCTAGCTCAGAGGTAGGGATACTACCACAGTGCCACAGGAGCTCTTTGGAATATTTTGTGAGTTTAAGTGACCAGTGATGGAATGGAATGGATTGAAGTCTGTGGGATATGGCCAATTTGAGTCTCAGTCTGTCAATTTTGAAGATATAAACTCTTAGAACCTTTATTTGCTCAGCAGCCACTGCTTTCCAGCTCACTGCAGATGGTCTCCAGCATCTGGCTGAGGTCAACAAGTACACATTTGCCTGTCACTGTCTATGCTCCGACAAATATCGATGTTGGAATGTAAAGGAAACTTATGAATTTTTTACTTACAGTGAACATCAGCTGGCAACCACCAAGAATATAATCCAAAAAGGAGTAATCTCTGGTTACCTAAAGCAAATAAAATCACAATTGTTAGCATTTGTTTGGCCCTGTTTACATATTTTAAAATAATTTCCCAGCTGTACACATAATGAGTTAATTTGCACATTATAATAATCACAGGTCACACAATTCCAGACAATCTTCACATATCATTTACATAATTAGTGTGCTAAAAGCTGTTCAAATCTTATTAAAATAGATGGTTAGTTGCTAACCTTCTCACGCTATTAGGTTTCAAACAAAAGAGCTGCATCTTAATGACGCAAAACCTTTACCTTGCAAGATTTGACAATAATTATTCCAGAATTCTTGTAGTTCTTTTTCTTCTTTTGTTTCTTGGAATTAATGCACTCAAATTCAACCTGCGGGAAAGAGAGGAGACCCTCTTCAGAAAGGTTTACCTCTTAAAAGCACACTTTGGAGACATTTCTTTTCCAAACTGGAACTAATGGATTTGTTCGAACAGGAATAGGCCACATGAGGAACCGAATGTCACTTTCAGTGCTCATCTCATTGGATTCCAGAGGGCTCCTAGTCTCTCTTCCCCCCATTACACAACATGCATCATCTCCTGGCAGCTTAAGTGGTGGCTGACAAAGAGATGGTAGTGATGGAAATATCTATGGTGTACAATTTCTCATCCAGTTAACAAGAGCAAACAGGAGAGGAATTCAAATCAGTAAGTAAAATTATAGGAACAAGGCTGCAAACATATGGCTGTGGTTAGCTGGTAGCAGTTTTGCAGCTTTCTGTATTTATGAATAAAGAGATAAATGTGTTTAAAAAAGACATTGGTTAGTTAAGAGGAGAACTGCATGTAATGTCCCATTGTATAAAGGGTCATTAAATCATTGACATGATAGATTTGCTACAGTACATGAACTCTCCATTCTATCCTGAACCTCCAACCAAACGTAGTGCTGCTTCACAATAAAAACTCACCTCTCTCCTGTGCATCTTGTAGCATCCACTAATTCTAATAAATTGAACTTTCATTCCCGTGTAATTTGCAATGAAGTAGCTTGGAATAGATTGATCTGGCTGGCAGTGACACTTTGTGGAAGTGAGGAGGAGTTTTCTTATGGGTGTCGCTGTCATAGGCTGGCCAGTCCCTAACTGCCCTTGAGAAGGTGGTGGTGAGCTGCTTTCTTGAACCGCTGCAGTCCATGTGATGTACCTAGACCCACAACGCCCTTAGAGAGAAAATTTCAGGATTTTGACCCAGTGATAGTGAAGGAACAGGGATATATTTCCAAGTCTGGAATGGCTTGGAGGGGAACTTGCAGGTGTGGTATTCCAATATATCTGCTGCCCTTGTCCTTCTAAGTTTAAGTAATTGTGGGTTTGGAAGGTGCTGTTGGAGGACGTTTTGTGAATTTCTGCAGTGTCTCTTCAGATAGTGCACACTGCTGCCACTGAGCATCAGTCGTAAAGGGAGGGCATACTTGTGGATGTGATGCCAATCAAGCGGGCTGCTTTGTCCTGGATAGTGTCAAGCTTCTTGAGTGTTGTTGGGGCTGCACTCATCCAGGCAATTGGGGAGTATTCCATCATACTCCTTGTGGCTTGCGACGGTGGACAGACTTTTGGGAGTCAGGAAGTGACTTACTCACTGAATATTCCTATCCTCTGACCTGCTGTTGTAGCCACTGTGTTTATGTGGTGAGTCCAGTTGAGTTTCTGGTCAACGATAACATCCAGGATGTTGATAGTGGGGTATTCAGTGATGGTAACACCATCAAAGTCAAGAGGCAGTGGTTAAATGGTCTCTTATTGGAGATGGTCATTACTTGGCATTTATTTGGCGTGAATGTTACTTGCCAATTATCAGCCTAATTGTGTTAGTATTGCAGATGTGAACTCTTCATCAGAGCTCTGCCCTTTTTTCTCTTCAGATGCTGGTGAAGCTGTGTTTTCCGTTTTCTATTTGTGTAAATGGCCCTTTGCAGCCTTTTATTCTTTTAATCACCTCACTTTTATGATTGCCAACTGTTTGTACTTTTGTCCAGCATTTCAAAAAGAAAAATCCAGCCTTTCCCTTCTGTTGCTTCAGTTACATTAGGGGACTGATTCATCTTTCAGACATGTAGGAAAATTTACACAAGAATGACTAACCTTGGGGCTCACTTTCTCTTTACAGCTGTTAAAGTGTGTGCTAGTTTTAAATATCATTTTGATTCAGGTGGACTTATCAGACTGCATGCAAAGCAATGCTGGCAGAATCACTCTGAACAGCACCAAAGGTGTCTTCCAGCATTCGATGGGCTCAGTTGGTTACACTCTTATCTCAGATTCAGAAGGTTATAGAGTCATAGAGATGTACAGCATGGAAACAGACCCTTCGGTCCAGCTCATCCATGCCGACCAGATATCCTAGATAAATCTTGTCCCTTTGTCAGCATTCAGCCCATATCCCTCTAAACCCTTCCTATTCATTTGTGTTTTTATGTACCATTCCAGGGAGCTCAGTGCCAATTTAAGGTTAACATTCCAGTTCAGTAACGAGGTAGTGCTGCAATTTTGATTATACTAGCTTTCAGAAGAGATGTTAAATAAGGCCCTGCCTGATCTTCCAAGTGGACGTAGAAGATCCCCTTTCAAAGAGGGGAAAATGGAGTTATCCCCGGCATCCTGGACAATGTTCACCAACAAAACCAATTACATGGTTGATTTCACCTTCCTGCTTGTTGGAGCATGCTGTGCACAATTTGGCAGCCATGTTCATACAGTACAGTGCAAAAAAAAGGACTAAGCGTCTAGTGTATGTCAGCAAAACACTTTGGAATGTTCCAAGGTTTTCCGAGGTTCTGTACAACCTCAAGTCTTTCTTGTTTTTAAAATCGGCTTTGTGCTGCCTCAACAAATTGCTCTTTGCTTTGTGCATCCACACCCAACAATTAGTCCAAACGTAAAAACAGAAAATGATGTACGAGGCCATAGGATAATTGTGCGTTGGCTAAGGGATTCTATCACATTCCAGCACTGAGGAAAGTCTTGATATTTTAATTTCTATGGAGAAGAGGTGTCTCTGTTGCAGGCTGCTGAACTGACATATACAAATACACTACACACGTGCCTGGGAGGCAAAACACTTCTCTCTGTTTTTCCATCTGTCCCATTAGCAGTTTTACCTCACATCATTATCTCCTTTTTTTTTAAAACCTCTGGGTTTTAACTTTTCATAGAGTTATCATAGAATCCCTACAGTGTGGAAACAGGCCCTTTGGCCCAACAAGTCCACACCGAACCTCAGAGCATCCCACCCAGGCCCATTCCCCTGTAACCCACCTAATCTACACATCCCTGAACACTATGGACAACTTACCTAACCTACACATCTTTGGACTGTGGGAGGAAACCGGAGCACCCGGAGGAAACCTACGCAGACACGGGGAGAAGGTGCAAACTCCACACAGACAGTCACCTTAGGGTGGAATCAAACCCAGGTTGCTGATGCTGTAAGGCAGCAGTGCTAACCACTGAGCCACCGCCCATCATTTTATTCTTTTATTCCTCCACCTCATGTTCCTCAGCCTTCTCCCTGACAGTATTTGCTTTAAGGCTGTTAGTCTCCAAAATCTTCTGGTATACAAAACCACCAACCTGAAAAAGTTAATTCTTGTTTCTCGTGTACAGTTCTCATGTATTCTTGTGCAACAGAAACTGTTTAATGGACTAACTGATTTGTCCTGATATAAAACAAAAAGTTCATAGTTCCTTGAAAGTGGAGCTGCAGGAAGATAGGATAGTGAAGAAGGTGTTTGGTACGCTTGCCTTTATTGGTCAGTGCATTAAGTATAGGAGTTGGGAGGTCATGTTGCGGTTATACAGGACATTGGTTAGGCCACAGTTGGAATACTGTGTGCAATTCTGGTCTCCCTGCTATAGGAAGGATGTTGGGAAACTTGAAAGAGTTCAGAAAAGATTTACAATGATGTTGCCAGGGTTGGAGAGTTTAAGCTATAGGGAGAGGTTAAATAGGCTGGGGCTATTTTCCTTGAGGTGTCGGGAGGGTTGAGGGCGTGACCTTAGAGAGGTTTATAAAATCATGAGGGGCATGGATAGGGTGAATAGACAAGATCTTTTTCTCAGGGTAGGGGAGTCCAAAACTAGAGGGCATAGGTTAAAGGTGAGAAAGATTTGAAAGGGACTTAACAGGCAAATATTTCATGCAGAAGGCGGTGCGTGTATGGAATGAGCTGCCAGAGGAAGGGGTGGAGGCTGGTACAATTACAACATTTAAAAGGCATCTAGATGGAGACATGAATAGGAAGGGTTTAGAGGGATATGGGCCAAATGCTGACAAATGGGAATAGATTTATCTAGGTCGGCATGGACGAGTTGGACTGAAGGGTCTGTTTCCATGCTGTACATCTCTATGACTCTAAGATGCCAATGAAATTCTGGTGATGTGAGTAAATGCCATTTGTGTTGCAGTTTTAAGCTTGTAGGAAAGGCCTGGGATAAGAATTTGGGGAGATTGGTAGGGGGACAATGTGTGAAGACAAACGTACAGTGCTGGCAGTCAGAGACCCTGCAGGCTGTACATGACATTGGTGGGTCTGATAAGTGAAGGCACATGCTGGAAATGCAGAAACTCAGATTATGGCAATTCTATTCTGCTTGGTGGTTCAAATTTCTAGGCTGCTCAAATGGCTGGCGGAGACAAAATTCCAACTGGTATTTAATCTTGGCCCGAAGGAACAGATTTTGTCAGTAGTGTACAGCACATAATTGTATTTCAGTTTGATCTCTCAGCAGGTCTAGTGGAGTCAATTGCTGCCAAGTACTCTACGCAGATCTTGCCAACTAGCCAACAATGAATTATTATAGTTATGAATGAATCTTCCACATCATTTAGTGAGAGTGAATATTTGAATTATGGGCAAGAGGCCAAGACAACTTGATGGGTGAAATGTAAGTTATATAATGTAAATCTAAACTTGCAGAAACAGTTACATGGTGCCTTATTGCTCAGTTGATTATGTGGGAGGAATGACGAAATTTATATAGATTGCCTGCAAATATCTAATTATTAAGTTATCAATAAAGCAGACAAATGGATGTTCTCTTGTAACGGAAAGATATGAATGAAGCTGACTGACAGAAACAGATGAGCTTTTCCCTGAATCTTTCCCCATCCTCAGGATAGCTGGAGCATCATGACTGGACTTATCATTCAGCGGCTAGGTAATTTCTAGAAGAAGCCAAAAAAATGAGAGAGGAAAATCCCAGGCTGTAAAAATCAATCTATATAGTAAAGATACATGGAAAGTATCCCCTCAAGCAGCAGAAAGCCCTCCAGGAAATCAGTGGCCCTATGCAATGTGCACACTCCTACTGAGTTACTACAAGCGATGAC